ACCGCCCGGGTCTGGACCCCATCCACAACTACATGGATTACTCCGATGAGTATGCTTACCATTGCCCATTTTTTCTGACTTCTACTAACGGTTGCAAGCGCGTGTATGAATGAGTTCACTCCTGGCCAAAAGTAAGATGACCTGCCTTCAAAAGGGTTGCCACGTCTTGAGCCTATGCTGACATGCCTACCCATAGCTTCCGCATGCGCAGCGCCTGGTACAACATCCGCACCAAATAGATTCTGGACTAGGCAGACCGTGATTTGCATATTGTCGAACTAATGTGGATTGGCCTTCAGAAATATCATGTAAATGAGAGATGCGGCGAGTTTAGTCAGAGCCTCTTCAGTGTAATTGTGCTTCGAAACCGACGAACAGGCCTTCTTTCAAAAGAAAACGGCACGTGTATATAGAATTGACGATTGATGAGGCATCTCAACATGTAGGCTTGGTGGATGGTGACCACTACTCTCGAGGTGTGTCGTTGTGGTTGGATCATGAAACAAATAGAAGCACTGCATCAACTCAAACTACAAAATGTGCATTGCAGAGTTCCGATATGTATATGTGGTTGTGCTCTTTGGGGTTTCATCAATCTCATAACAGAATCTCTCTGCTCAGGGAGAGTGTTTTGTTACAGTGTTTAGGGAGAATCGCTTGTTGGTTCCAGAGGTAGAACTTGGTGATTGGGCATTTACCTGCGTCGACATGACTTAAGCCTTAAAGCAGTGCTCGCGCTAGTCTTCTGTGATTGTCGTCCAGGGGGGTGTATGTTAACGATCACCACAAGATGACTGCTGGGCGGGGTATGCTGTACCTTGCCTAAATGAGCCTCGAGGAGTATGGCAACATACTTCTCATGAGTTATAAGTACATAACCCGGCGACAAAATCTGCCCAGCCTGTAGGTCGAACCATTGGACGACAATCCACAGCTTTGTCAAGTTGCCGGAGGACTTGCCTCCGATTCGTGAACAACAGAATAGTTTATTGGGGAGATCCAAGCTCTGCTCTTACGCAAAAATAATCTATTCGAGCTTCTCTGTCAAGTCAAAAGATGAAGATGCAGGAGCGCGAGGAGACAGATGCACTGCAAGTCACGAGATCAGCAGGCGGGCTGAACGCTATTGAACCATGCAGCTGCCACCGCGAATCTTCCAGCCGGGAGGCGCCTATGAGTGGCGGGTTCTATACGCGGCCGCCGCTCCCAGGCGCTGGGCGCATCTGGGGCCGTTTCGTGGCTGCGGAGACGGTTCGTCCGACTCCAAATGGGCATTTTTACAAGCGAACCGCTTTGAAGTTCATGATACTGGGTGAGACTTCCTAGGTTTGATGAAGGTCTAGCTAAGTTGAGCTGTGTATCAAATGCATTCGCAAAGAGACAGCCGCCACCGACGACGTTCTGTGTCACGAGACGTTCCTAGGAGTTAGCTTGGCTAGGTACGTAGGGGCGGGCGAGGAGTTAGGTTGGTGAATATAAAAAGGGCTCTGTTCCCCTTGAAAACTGTATTATGCATCATTCAAGCCAGCTACAGCATCCACACCATCTTCACATCCAAAGAAAGCATCAGCAAACTCAAAATGAAGGCATCAGCTATCTTCTCTGTTCTGGCCATGGCTGCCATATCCTGCGCCCACATCATTCCGGAAGACGCTAGCACGAACCTCCTGGACAGTAAGTGACCCTGATTGCTGGTTTTCGACTTGCAGCCTTATCATTCTGCACAGAGAGACAATGCAGTGGTGCTGCCGTCACTGCGTGCCAGAACGCCTGCCGCAACATCGCGATCAACGCTTGCACAAGCTGCAACGGCAACCCAAGCTGTCATTCCGCATGCGAAAGCGCCCGCCGGAGGCAGTGCAGCCAATGCTGCTCCAACAGCTGCAGGACCTGCTGAGCTGTTCACAGCCTGTTGATGAATGCTGAAAGAGGTTGAGTTATGGGCGCCATGCGATGCCATCGCACAGCAGAAGGGATGCGATTGTGGGGATGATTTGTGCTGATTTCAACTCCATCTCTTGGTATATATCACACTCATATGTTGTCGGCAGACGCTGTTCAAACCTCTCAGTAATGGTAGTAGATGGCATTGCTGGAGCAGCTGCTCAACTGAATGCATACTCGTTCGTCAAGGTTTAAGCACTCCTCAAGGAATCTTTCAGGTTTTAGCACTTGGGAAGTTTCACTACACCGAGCACGTGGTATCCGTGAACAGCCTGTACGACTGAGCCAGCGATATACCTGGGATTCGATCGGCCAGGCAAGCAAAATGGCCAAATCAACTCACATGTGTAACGACCACTAAATCATTGTACTAAGATTTGCACCTTGGCCACAAAGTGCGTAGGCGATTAGTATAAGCAGCGACTCACACCGCGAATTGTGAAAACAGTCTTTCTGAACAGGAGGACCGTACCAAAATTTTCGTGAGCAGTGGTGTATTGATGTTCTCGACCATCAAGCTGAAGATGGTAGGATGGACCAGGAACCAGAAGACCAGGGTGGTTGCACCAGTATGTCACAAACAAGTCAGCCATGGAGTCGTGGCTTACCACCAATTCTTTTTCCAACGTCGTTTCGTATTTCAATACTTTTGGCCTAGAGCCAATTTCTGTACGGACTCTGAATGGAAGAGCCAACAAACAGCTTGCACTCTCCAAGCCATACTGCGCGCTCATTCACCTTCAGGCTTACCCAACGTACGCGGTATAGTCGTACGTCGGACGTGGTGATGGCGATGTTGCACATGTTGTCCTCAGACCAACTTCATTGGAGTCCGAGATGAAGGACAAACCTGTCTGAAGTCAATTAACCTCGTGCGCTTTACGCGCTTTAGGCTGAAGAAGCTTCAGTCTCTTGTACAACCACTTGGCCATTTTCGTCCACGCTCAAATATGAGATAGTCAGCGAAACTGTCTTTGACTTCGCCCTACAAATTCCAGGCTGGAAAGCTCCCCTAGCTTGCGTGGAAGTAGACGCCAAATGCGCCAAGCGCATCTCCGTTTCCACAGGCAAGCCAAGCAGCAAACTGATCCCGTACGGGGCGTCAAGCTGCATGTTGCACAATTTCCGGTCACGGACACTACCTCAAAGTGTATTGGCCGTCATGGCATGCGGCCTACAATCTATTTCTCCTCTACTGACCGTCATCAAGTGCTTCATAGTCTCAGGTACATTCTCTATAGAATACCAGTTGCCCATATTTTTGCACCAATAAAACTCCATGATTCCAAGATGTCACATATCGACGGCGATGTCCTATCACTCACCAGGACGGACAGCTCAGACAAAGTCTGGAAAATGGGATCCGTGTCGTACAAGACCGAAAACTGCCGAGCCCAGCTCAGGTGCCGCGTCCCCCACCCACCGGGCCGCCGCTCGCCAACAATGAGCCGAGCCTCAAGCCTTCTGCCCAGCAACCTGCCGCCCGCACCTCTCCCAGACATCCAGCCCCGTCAGGACAGAGGTACACAGCATGACGGTCCCAATGGTGCCGGGCTCGCTCGAGACCCACCCAACAGCCGACCCAGGGATCAGAAGATCCAGCGAATCCGCCGCCATGCGCCGCAGCAAAGCCCTCACCTTCTTCCGCACGCCGGCGCGGTGCGCCTTCCGCGCCGCGACACCCTTGCGCAGCCTCTCCCGCTCGTCCTTCCAGTCCTCGGCCCCCTCGGGCGCCGGCGCGGGGCCGGGCACCGGCTCGCCGACGAGATTAGCAATCTTGACGGCGCCGGAGAGCACGCCGCAGGCGAGGGCGCAGAACCAGAAGCGCTGGGCCTCGACGTTGATGGTGGCGGCGCGGGCCTCGCCGAAGAGGGCGGCGCCGGGGACACCGAGCATGTCGGGCAGGGTAATGGTCTCGAGGAGGCTGAAGACGCCCATGAGGGACGAGGCGATGATGTCGAGGTGGACAGCGAGGGGCTGAGGGTCGACGACGGCGCGGGCGACGAGCGCGTAGGCTGTGGAGAAGGAGCGGGCAAAGTTGAAGGTGCGCATGGCGCGGCGCGTGATGTTGACCTGAGCCTTGAGCGGGTCGAGGGTCAGGGCGGTGAGGCGCGGGGAGGGCGGGGCGTCGGCGGTGAAGAAGGGGTAGAGGGCTGGGAGGAGGAGGGGGTAGGCGAGGAATATCTGGAAGATGGCCTGGACACCGCGGAGGAGACGTTCGAGTCCGACTGTTGATGGTCAGTCATGGTTTTTGAAGATGAGGGGCCAAGATTGAGGGGCTATGATGGAAAGTGTTGCAACGTCCCAACGATGATATCTCGCGGTGAAAAAACGTGAGGCCACTCAATTTATGCCACCTTCGGTTTCGCTGAATGAAGTATGAAGGCACACTCACATATGTCGGTTCCGAAGCAGATGAACTGCTCGATCACATGTGACTCCATGTCTACGGCGGATGGGGCCAGTGCCACGTGCGATGAAGGTGCTTAGGTGTTGGGAGATGAGTGATGCAAAGTGTCGGCCGAGACCACTAGATTAGTTATAAGTATGTTAAAAAATGACGGGAGGATAAATGTCAAATTGAGGCTGGCAATAACGGTGAGGTAGGCTACAAGGGCTCGCCTCGTGTTGTTGTTTGAGGTTAGCCTTTAGCTCCTGTTTTCCCAGCCATTCGCCCAATCGGAATGGTTGGGGTGGATGGGCGTCAAGGGCAGATGATAAGCACCCCGGCACCAGGATACGATGATGGGATACACGTTACAACAAGGCACTCAGAGAGGCATATATCAAACCATCTGGAATGCTGCCAACAGTGCCAGTCGAGTGGTGAGTGGTCTTCGAGGACCAGGGCCAAAACCTCGGGACTGCGAGGCGTAATTCGGACCAAAGCCTAGAATTACAGGATCAGGGAGCCCTGACAAAACGTTAGAACGAATTCTCCTGTTACAACAAACGAACACCACAGCTTTAAAGTCTACCAAACTAGGTACGGAACACATATGTACAAGCCCTTGGGCTGCCGATACCAGCCTCCATTTTCCATTCTGAGGCACCCTTTACTGGCCGGGAGCGACCAGCTTGCCCTGCGCGCGCGCAGTCGGCTCCCAACCACCAGCCAGCGCGTTGGCGCCGTTCTGCGCGGCGTACTCCGCCATCCTCGCCTCGAGCTCGGGACGGAAGTGACGAATCAGGCCCTGCAGCGGCCAAGCGAAAGCCTCACCCAGAGCTGTGTCTCTGTCAGTATATATGTGATGGAAATATACGTGAAGAGGAGAACGTACCGCAAATAGTGTGACCCTCGACCTGCTTGGTCAGCTCCTGGAGCATGTCAATCTCCCGCGGGCGGCCCTGGCCCTTCTCGAAACGCTTCATGATCTGGTCGGTCCACTTGCTGCCCTCGCGGCAGGGTGTGCACTGGCCGCAGGACTCGTGGGCGTAGAAGTGGGACAGGCGGCTGATGGCGCGGACGACATCGGTGCTCTTGTCCATGACGATGACGGCAGCAGTGCCGAGACCCGACTGGCTATCCTTGAGGGCGTCAAAGTCCATCAGCTGGTTGTCGCAGACATCCTTGGGCAGAATGGGCGTCGAGGAGCCACCGGGAATGACGGCAAGCAGGTTGTCCCAGCCGCCACGAACACCGCCGCAGTGCTTCTCGATGAGCTCACGCAGAGGGATGGACATCTCCTCCTCGACAGTGACGGGGTTGTTGACGTGGCCAGAAATGCAGAAAAGCTTAGTGCCCTGGTTACGCTCGCGGCCGAAACCGGCAAACCAGTTGCCACCGCGACGACAGATCGTTGGCGCGACAGCAATGGTCTCGACATTGGCGACGGTGGAAGGGCAGCCGAAGAGACCGACGGCGGCAGGGAAGGGAGGCTTGAGACGAGGCTTGCCAGGCTTGCCCTCGAGGGACTCGATGAGGGAGGTCTCCTCACCGCAGACGTAGGCACCGGCACCACGATGGACGTAGACGTCAAAGTCGTATCCAGATCCGCACGCATTCTTGCCGATCAGCCCGTCCTTGTACGCTTCGTTGATGGCAGTCTGGAGGACAGCAGCCTCGTGGTAGAACTCGCCACGGATATAAATGTAGGCGGCGGTGGCGTTCATGGCACGGCCGGCGACGAGGCATCCCTCGATGAGCTTGTGGGGGTCCTTTCGCATAATCTCGCGGTCCTTGCAGGTTCCGGGCTCTCCCTCATCGGCGTTGACGACCAGGTATCGGGGCTTGGTGTCCTTGTCCCAGTCCTTGAAGTTCATGAACGACTACCACTGTCAGCACGCGTCGTTATACAAGAGCACATCACAGTCGCCACCTACCCATTTCAGGCCAGAGGGGAAACCAGCACCACCACGTCCTCGCAGGCCGGATGCCTTGACTTCGCTGATGATCCACTCGTGTCCCTTGGCGAGAATCTCCTTCGTCTTGTGCCAGTCACCCATCTTCTTCGCGGACGCAAGCGTCGGCGGCAGGCGGCCGTTGAGGTTCTGGAAAATACGGTCGCTGTCCTTGAGACCGCCGTAGCTGCTACGGACGGTGGCGTAGTTGCGAGCCATGTTGGCCGCGGTCGCGGGTAACCGCTGTGATGTCGACATCGTGTCGCGGGAGCGCGGGGTCCGTGAATTTGAGTGTCGGTTTTGTCGTCAGGCCTGAGCTCGCGATCGAATTGCCCGGGTGGCGTTGACGAATTGAGGGTCCCGGCAGGGAGGGGCGTCGATGAAGGGTCGGATTTGAGGTTGTCCTGGAGCTTGCGAGGTTTCGGCAACCTCCAGATGATCTTGATGACGCCTGGATTTTGGGGCATTATGATTGGGCAATGGGTCGGTGTCTGCACGTGACCTATATGCTGCTTACCTCATCGAACCTTTCCAAAGCCCCTGGTCGGCAAGGTTGAGTCGTGATCCATTCCAGCATCGCGAGATGGTCTGAAAGTGGTCCAAGCTTCCTTCCAACGATGCGGGATACCATCTAGGACAACCTCGTTGCGAGTGCAACAAGAGGGGAGTATTGAGCCCTAGTACTTACTTCTCACGTTCCATACTACCGGGCTGCGACAACATCACGGTTCAGTGTCGCCATGTCTTCTACCACCAGCAAGCGTCGCTCGATCATTCCTCCCGTCTCCAGCTCAGGGCCCCAAGCTCCTCTCAATGCGTCTTCCTCCTCCAAGATTTCCGACAATAGCATATTGACCGGCAGCCACTCGATCACAGTTCAGTCCGAAACGATCATCCATCCGCGAGCCAAGCTAGAGTCAGTGAGCGGGAGCATCTACGTCGGAAGAAGGTGCATCATCCACGAGCGTACACATATCGGCCTCAGCGACGGCGACGAGGGCAGCGGAGGGGTAACATTGGGGGACTACGTCACCGTTGAGGTCGGCACGGTGATCGAGGCCGGCGGTACAGATATTGGCGACGGCACTGTGGTCGGCGTCCGATCTCGAATCGGCAGTGGTGCCGTCATTGGCAAAGTATTCCGCCCGAAGCATAACACGCGATTGATACGGGCTAATCCCCTCCAGAACTGCACCATCACACCACAGACGGTGATCAGGGCCGGCGAGAAGATCCCAGACTTCACAGTGGTGTTTTCAAACGGACGCCGCCGAACAGACAAGCGGGATGTCGTCGATCTGAAGCACAGGGCGCAGGCAAAGCAGGTCGATGTATTGCGGAAACTGATTCCGACGAACCCTCTGCGGCGTCAAGCGGCAGCTGAGTAGCAACCGCAACTGCCGTCGGAAGCGAGAACAGAAGTTTGATCTTACCTGCCCTATTTCCAGCCTCATGATACCCAAATACACAAAATCACAAGGACCTCGAGATGTTCCTATGTTCAGGTGGCTAATTTGTTCCCCATAAAACCACTAAGCAGTCTAGTTTGTTGGTCGCAAGAAGACCTGCCTATCATGCATAGTCGACTGATCAACTGCATTGTAAGCGCCTGCACATGGCACATCCCTTTCACCTGTTACGCTTGCACCATTGGCTCGGCCACAACAAGGCACACCATCAGGCAGACTGGCATGCTTCACGTGGTATATATGCAGCCTGATCTCCGTCCCTTGTGAACCCGAGACCTTGCACTGCGCTGCCTTTGGTCCTCTCTTCTCTCTGTCTTCATCCACTCTGCCCATTCATCTCTGACAGACTAAGAATAACCCAACATGGCCGAAGTATTCGGCATCGTCTCCGCTGGCGTGGGCATCATGGCTTTCATAGGCCAGGTGTCTGCTACTCTCGAAAAGGTGAACGATGCTCATCAGTTTGTCAAGGGCAAGGCTGCTGAAGAGATCGCGTCCTTACGAACCGAACTCCACCTCCTCCAGATCATACTGCAGACCTTGCAACCAGGAGATGACAATGACATGGATGTTCTTTTGACGGGCTATCACTGGCATCAGTTCAACACTATACAAACATCCTTGAGCAAGCTCTCTACAAAGCTGCACGAAAGACTTGAGTCTTCTTCGTCACTTCGCCGCCCAAGTTGGAGACTAGTCAGCAAGAAGGTCGATCGACAACTGCGAGAAGAGATAACAAATACAAGCCTAAAGATTCAGGCCTTAATTCAGGTCATGCTTTTGCACGCGTAAGTAGTTGTATCGAATGCAGGTGGACGGCGTAACTCATTGGGCATTGCAGTGTTGTTAGGCCGCGCCAAGGTCAACCGAAACCTAGCATCGAAATGCATGAATTGCCGCCAATTGAGGTTCCAATAGAAGATCTCTGCATCGCCAATACTACATCTGAGATCATGGTACTTGGTCAACCCTCGACCGAGCAAGCTAGGTCTATAACAGTCGCTGTGAACAAGAGCGAGGAAGATGTCGTAATGACATGCAAGCCCAACACTCTTACCTCGACAACGACCAGGTATATTGGACGACCGCGTCGAAACGACTTCTTCACTTGTAGCAATCCAGGCTGCTGCTGTAAATGTCATATCACAGCAAAGATTCAGAGGAGGTTCTGGGCGTTCGAATACACACCTCTATCCATTTATCTCAGCGACTGCGACGTTAGCCTGTGCAACTCTCGAAGGGTGCGGCTGGGCTTTCGGGCAGCCTTCTCGCAGTATGGCATTCCTTGGGCTGTATCAATTGGATTCGATGCCCTCTCGGAGACAGGGATGCGTACCATTCAGCCAACGCTCCGGGTTCAGCAGGTTGTCAAGTATACTTCGCCGGGCTTTCGGATAGTGTGGCTAGCGATAAACAATTACATTACTGTTGACCAAGCTCAAGAGCAACTTTCGGACTTCTTCCGACGAGAACCCACGGCGAGAAATCACGTCGATCCGTCAGGCAAAGGTTACCTCGAGGTACAAGTCTCTCACCAACTGTGGTATTCAGCTCATAATATTGACTACGGCACAGGCCATGGTCAGAGTATACTCGAGAGGTCTTTACCCGAGAGATTTTCTTGGTCTCGCGAAGTTCATAGTGGACAGCCTTGGTTGTCAACAGAATGCAGATCCAGAGTATGTCCCTTTCGACGACAAGAAAATGAGTAAAATGTTGACACTCAAGCATTGTTTTGACTTCCTGTGCGGAGATTTCAAATCACAAGCTACGTGTTCCTCTCCTACAGCTTCTGCTGGAATGTGGCTATGATCCAAGCAACATTCCCTGGCCATCGATAAACCTTAGCCGGAAACTCCGTTTGTTTCTTAAACAAGACGCGTCTCTGATTGGCTTTTGGTCCACACTGATTGAAAATCGTCCCGGTTAGCTTCAATACTGCCTTGACCCAAACAAGTTTATGCGACTGCTGATCGGCTTTACTTCAGGACTTATTTTGCCAGGACTCCTAGAAGCTATATTGAGCAGGTCTCCTGCAGAAACAGCAGTTTGGATCCACAGGACGCCTTTTTTGGAGGCTTGCACGACTCCCCTAGGTCAAACCCCACTGCACCTCGCCGTCGTCGACGATCAGATACTGGACCTGGTCTTGAACAGTGGACATAATGTTGATGCTGTGGACAGCGTGGGGTGCACTCCCCTTGTCTACGCCATCATATTGGGACAGAATCATGCAATTTCGAGTCTGTTGACTCATGGTGCCAGCCTTTCAATGGACAAAGCTAGATGGACTTTCGCAGGGCTGTTGTCTTCCTACGGGGACCTCGACATGGTGTCTAACGCCCTGGCTCTAACTGAAAAGCTTCGTGGAGGTGATGTCACACAGACTGTCATTGGGAAAATGATGCGCATTTGTTTTAGGTTCCGTCAATCATTCGACTTTCGAAATGGCCCGCGCGACCAGCTCTACAATATGCTGATGGGACGGTGGACAAGTTCTTCGATCATCAAGTGTGAGGCCCGCGGCGAAAATCTCATGCATATCGTTCCAACGGTGCAGGAAGCGCAGGCCCTTGTCCAAAAGGGCTTCAACAGATTCGATTCGACTGACAGGCTCGGACGGTTGGCCATTCACATACATGCAGGCTATGGACGGGACTCTCTCGTTGGCTTTTGTATCGAGCACGGATCAAACTTGGAGCACAAGGACATGTCCGGGTGCACTCCTTTCTCATACGCCTTCTCGAGACTGAGCCATGCTCGGATGGACCACGCGGTTTCGAACACGCTTTCATACAGATGCATTTTAGGCGCCGGCGCCAACGTCAGAGAAGGAGGCAGGTGCAAATGCGTCTGCACTTCCGCAGATATCGGCTGTTCATCTGCCGAGAAACGGGTTCATGGGGATATCGCAGTGTCGAGCGATGACGGGTCGCGTTGGCCACGATGGATCATCGCTCTTGAATACCAGTCTCTCCTAGGCGATTTTCAGGGCGCTCAGCCAAGTCGTACGGCATTGCTTGGTATGATAAGAAGACTGGAATTCGATGCTTTGGGCATGACACATGCCTGTAACTGTTGCCGACAACAATCCGGTACGTCAATTGGCAAGATCAAAATTGACACAAATCATGCAGAGAAACCACACCTTTTAAGACGTCTCGACATCAGTATGATGAATCTCCGTGGAAGATCTTTGTCGTTCTTGCAACGCGAATTTTTGCTTCGCTCAAAGCATTCTCTGGTGGGTCGTGGAAGCGTGTGGACAGAACGCCTCCCCAATGTAAGCAAGAACAGTCTTATCAGTGTATTGAGCGTTACTGAATCATAGAGTCTACACCACGCGATCAATTGTGGGGCTTGGATTCCGTCAAAGATGTGTTCTTTCGGCAGATGCCCCAGTCTTCATCGCGGGTTTGCCGGCGAAGTCGAGGTGATGATTTGGTGATCTACGTTAAGTCTCTGGAGCAGCAATGGATCAAGTTTTCGAGTCAGCCGTCGAATCTCTTCCCAAGCGGCTGGTATCAAAGACGGATCATGTGGATTGTCGAGGCAATGCGGGTGTTTGAGGTCAGTGTCGAAGAAGCGGCTCAGACACTTCGTCTGGGAGACGCACGCATATTCCCGCCGTACTACAAGGACTCAGGCACGCAACATGAACGGGACATCTGGGCGGCCCACTTTATCTCTTCTATTGATGAAGTTGTATCCGACGCAGATGACAGCGACGATGACGACGAGAACTGGGAGAGCTGTAGCTCATCAGACTGATGTATCACCTACTTGGAAAACAGCAGGGGGTTAGTGTACTGAAGACTTCGGAGATACTTGCGTCCGTCCAGCAATGAAACGGGACGTGTTGTACACAAGGTCGTGGATGAATGGGGATGCTCAGGGGCCAGACTCTGAGTCGATGCCACATAGCGAACGGGCCACACTTGCAAGGGTTCCCAGGCTCGTGGAAGAACCGTTTAAATTCAAGCCAGCCTTACCGACCTGGATGGAGACTTTATTCGAGGGTGCGCCATCAATCTGATACGAGCAAATCACCCCATTCACGGAAGGAACTCGCCAAGGTCCTTCCGGCGCCGCCTTCTGTCCTCGACCGTGAAAGAAAAAAGTTCTCTCCATGTCAGGTCTCACCTCTTCCAGTGCAGCTCTTTACAAAAAGCCCCCAATGACCCCGACAAGGACCTTTTTCCCGAGACGACTCTGGCAGTCAAGATGCACATCGCCCTGCTCCATTTCCTGCTGGTCCCCACACTCGCGATCGCAGCCCTAAACGCCACGCCGATCCCCCGCGTCTTCCTCTTCGCCCTGGTAGCCCACCAGGCATGGCTCACGACGCAGACCATCGAGGCCGCCAGGCTCGGCACGGCCGCCGGCTTCCCATCGCTGGACACGCACGTCGCCGACATTGCCATCAAGGTTGCCATCCTCGTCACTCTTCACATGGGCGTCGTCCTCTTCCTCGAGCGCATTGTCCTGCCTAAGCGCGACACGTGGGCCGGTCAGGTCAAGGAGGGCTACAAGATGGTCTTCAACGGCAGGCGCATCGGCACCACCCGCCTAGCGCCCCAGGTTCCCATCCTTGAAAGCGAAGCCATGACCCTCGTGACGCGAAAAGATGACGAGGTCTTGCTCCAGCGCCAGCAGCGGCCGCAGGGAGGCAGCTTTCACGACCGCGTGGGCACCGTCCGCCGCGAACCCCGGCTCCGCTTCGTCCTTCGTCGCCTTTCCCTCGCGCTCCTCCTCGCGCTCCTCGAGTTCGGCATCAAGCCGCCGCTGCTGCGCCTCTATCTTCCCACGACATACGATGACTTTGCCCCCGCGAAGGAAGTCTTCTTCCGCCGTCTTCTCCTTCCCGGCCGTGGTCCGATGCCTGACGCCCACGAGGTAGCTGTGAGACTGTGGATGACGTTCGAGACGACGTGGGCGGCCTACTCCTTTTACACAACGTGGCACTCCCTTGCTTCGGCAGCAGCGGTCGCCGCGGGCCTCGACCGCCCGCACGAGTGGCCGCCGCTGTTCGGGGACATTAGGCAGGCGTACTCGCTGCGGCGCTACTGGGTCAAATTCTTCGATCGCCTGATCTACCGAACCATGTCGGGGTACGCAAAGTTCGCGGGCCGCTGGGTCGGGCTTTGCGACGCCGCGGGGAAGGCCAAGACGACCTGGAGCCGGTGGGCGTTGAACGGGATGGTGTTCATGCTGAGCGGCGTATTTCACGCCTGGGCGGCCAAGTGGCAGGGCTACAGATGCGGATTCTGGGAGGAGATATGGTGGTGGTCTGCGAATTTTGTGGCCGTCTTGGGGGAGACGGTTGTTTTGGACGGTCTGCGGAGAATCATCCCGCGGTGGTACCATCAGATGGCCGAGGGGAGGACAGCCAGGATTGCCGGAGGGTTCTGGGTGTGTCTTTTCATCTTTTGGGCGTCGCCGAAATATCTTTACCCTGTCATGATATGCAACGCATAGTCAACAAATGGAATAATACAGGATGCACTCAGTCAATTGCTCCTCAACAGTCTCAGTGATGTTGATGTAAGTTTACAAGTACGCTTGACGTTCCGATATGCTTGCACGCAACTAGCTCCGGAAAAATCGGCTCAAGATCGCAACGGGGTAGCAGCGGCCAGAGCGGAGACGAGGCTCGAGTCAGGCACGAGCGGGGCCGGCATTCGTGCCGCTCGCTATTGGGGTTATTGAAGCTGGCGGTGGTGCCGAACGATAAGCGCGAAGGGTTCTGGGCCATGGGTGGATTCTCGTTAACAAAGGTGGCTAAGATGAGC